CCTTTATCGTGGCTTTTCCTTTTTTTGTACCACTCACCATCCTTAGCTTAAAAGGAGGAATTCACGATTAGAATGAAGGTCGAAGAAAGGGAAACTGACCTAGTTGAGGGACCCACGGACCTCCTGAGGGTGCGAACTGACGCGCAATTCGCATGGAAAAATTTGACCTCGGCGACCTATCATGCCTCAAAGCTGGCGGGTCCGGCGATCTCCGCCCACCGATCATCTGATCACTCGCCGTAGTTCAATACGTGGCGAGTGATTAGATAGCTGAGAGAGCGTAGTGTTGAAGAGGGCACAGCGATGAGAGTCGCATCAATGCTCAAATCAACGGGCAAGGAAGGGGTCCCATTTCTCGGGTTCTGGGCCGTTTCTCATGGTTCTTCCTTCTTTCGTGTACCACTCACCATCCCTAGGTTAATTTGAAATGGGTTGCTTTTTCATCGTGAATTCGTCCTTTAAGATGCAACGGAGCTGACTGGACTACGGTCGCTTTTGTCTGTTATGCACTACTGTTTGTCCGTCTTTCTCTTCACCATTTTCTTTCTCCTGGTAGTGCTTCGCGAAGAGAAAAGCTACTAAGGATGAGAAAAGCACGAAAAGAAAAACAAACAAATGCTAAAACATATCGAGCAAAAGCGAACCTTACTCCAGTCGGCTCCGTTGCATCTTTCTGAAAATGGGCTCAATTTTCGCCATGGTTTCTTGCCACAGATGATGCCTTCCACGTTTTCCACTCAAGAATCAACTTGGGATTCATTCGCAAGCAAAAACATTGTTCCGTTGAGACATTAAGTTCCGAAGAAGATTTGATGGCAGAGCACGGCTTCATAAAAAAGGATGTTTCTTCTGTGACACGGCCTTTGTTTCTACCGAAAAGCAAGGGGAGATCCTTTGGAGCTCTTCTCAACTCCATATCATGTAAAATCCCTGAAAAAATTCTCGAGCTCCTCGTGAATTTGGTCAAAATCTTGTGCGATTGCCTAATTAGTAGTTTTGCGACGACCTGACCTTTTAAAAAGTCAGACAGCATTTTCTATCATACTGTCCCCTTGAGAAGTAGGATGTTAGCACAATAAAAAAGTTTGGCGAAACGGAAGTGAAAAATAATAGAAAAACATGAGGTGGAGTTATAATTTTGGGACGTCGGCTAAGTGGCCTTTTGAACAAAAATTATTAGAAAAAATTCCTGGGATCTCAAGTTGGAAGTTGATGTTTATAGGCAATTTCGTATTTGTATTTAACACACTGTCACATTGGAGACTTTTTCTAAAACATCTATTAGGTTGTCTCATAAATAGTGTCGCTTTTTTTCAACCAAAAAATTTTCATCTAAATCCCCATGCTTTTACATGTCATATACCATTCGAAAGAGAATTGTCTGCTCTACAAGATGCTGTGTTCTTCCACCTATGTTCCAGGGTTTTCAAATTTTAGGCCTGCGAAATGGGAGGTCCAGCCGACAAAAATTGACCAAACCGACAACTAGCTCTAACTTTATTTTCCCTTGGGAGAAATCAATCAATGATGTACCCTCTACTTACTCATGACCTCTTCTGAACATTCCACCCTTAGGTTGCCGAAAAAGGTTTGCCTGTTTCTTTTCGAATTGGCCGACCGATAAGCCATGGCAATTTTCAAATTGAAATTCTTCCTCTGAAACGCTATTGTTTTATATCAATCTTTTGTGAGCACTTCTTCTGCTCTATTCGCTCATTTGTTTTGTTTTATGTTTGTTAGGAATTAGCTCGAATTTTAGGTGTTTAGGATAAGGTGCTTTATCCACGAAAGTGACCGCATTTCTTTGAAAAAAATTATCCTTGAGAAGATGAGAAAATCAACCAGGCGTACATTCCTAACTTAGTCATGACTTGTTCTTTAAATTCTACTAGTTTTTCAATGTCTCGGCTATAAAAAATTTCGACCTAGATCTCAGGTAATGGTGCTCGACCGTCGAGTTCTGGTTGAAAAACCAGGTCTGGAAATGGAACGACGCGACTTGTTGGGAAACCTAATAGTGTAATGTTAGAAGAGGTCATGCATAAGTAGAGGGTACATCATTGATTGATTTCTCCAAGGGAAGATAAAGTTAGAGCTAGTTGTCGGTTTGGTCAATTTTTGTCGGCGGGACCTAAAATTTGAAAACCCTGGAACAGAGGTGGAAGAGGAACATAACATCTTGTAGAGCAGACAATTCTCTTTCGAATGGTATATGACACGATGTAAAAGCATGGATTTTAGATGAAAATTTTTGGTTGAAAAAAAGCGACACTATTTATGAGACAACCTAATAGATTTGCGAGTTTTGCGTTGTGGTGCAGCA